TATGGACTCCGGGCAAGGTGCATTCCTCCAGGGCTTCCTGCTAATATGACCAAGTTGCGAAACCAAGAACAAACAACTTCCATGAATCTTTTCATTATACACTTCCACTTTAAATAAAAGTGAGCTGAACGATTTTATATTTCCTTGTAAGGAACATCGGCAAATCAATTTTATTTCCATATGAATATGATGCTAAACTTTAGAAAACTATTATTGTAGTGGGAAAATAAAACATCCAAAAGGGATGCTCGTTTTAAGCGAAAAATAATTTTCTGCTCATTTATGTGAGCATATCCAAAATAAATGTATATAGTTAGTTTATAAATGCAAACTAATTCCAATTAGAAGTTGTTTTCGCGACTTGGTCGTATTGGCAGGAAGACCTAACAAAATGCACCTAGTCCGGAGTCCATAGTATGCATGATAATTTCCAGAGTCAGACCGTGGTTATTGTACATTCCCAGACGTTATGCCAGCATCATACCACGTCCACGGTCCGACTCTGGAAACTATCATGCCTCCCATGGACTCCGGACTAGGTGAGTTCCTCTAGGTCTTCCTACCAATATGACCAAGTTGCGAAAACAAGATCAAATAACTTCTATACAACGAAAGGAGACTGCGACCACACAAAAGGCCACACCATCTTGGTCTTCATACCTCTAATTCCAAATAGCTTATATCCAGGCTATCTCCAGGAATGCTACATACAAATGCTAAGTAAGACACTTATTTCTCACTGCTTTGAAGATTGTGCGTGTATCATATACGAAGGATCTGGATGTAGACTACTTTAGACATTAAATGATAATACTACTTAAGTGATATAGCATATCCAGACAGAAGTATCGAGATTTTAAATATCCACTGCCTGGCTGACTTACTGTTTTATATACTGGAAATGGCCAGCCCTTGAGATTGCACTGTATCGACAGTAAATTCTTTGGGCTGCTTCCTTGTCCTGGCCAAAGATGACGCAGAAACACCGTAGGACGCACAATTGCCTCAGATTTAAGTCCATCCTCTTTATCGTTGTGAGCATCATCCTCAGTCTTGCTCTTCTCTCTCTCATCCACTCGACCTGATATTTGTCGAAGCCCATGTTTTTTATGTCCAGGATCGGTGAGTGCATCATTCTCGAGCCGGGCAGCAAAAGCAGGGACCATTTGAACTTGATTATGATGCTCTTGTACGCCACTTAAATCAGATGATTCGATGACTGTACTCTCGCCTGCAGGATAAACAGTAGGATCAAGCCAGGACAACTTAGCTCTCTTGATAGTTAGATCACCGTCCTGTTCTTTTAAATGCATTCCATCATTTCGACACGTGTAATTTTCATCAGAGAGGAGACGGTCAGGAGGAATTAGTTTGTGTTTATGACTAGACTGGATTAGTGGGTTGGAGGCCGAAGAAACTACTGTCCGCCTGGATTCCTCATAACATGATCGACGCAGACTTTCGGCCTTGTATATTTCTGAGAGGCCCCATGTATCACTAAAATAGGAAATATGCATGTTATAATGTCGTATCAGTGATGTGAGAATACGAGTAAATCACACGGAAAAGTGGAATAATTTCAAAGTTTAGCTAAGGCAAGGCTTGAAAGTAAATGCACCGATGAGCTCATACAGGATTACAAAAAGTCATATTTTAATCGAAATTATGAAGACCAGGATAGTGTCATTTTTTATGGTCGTGGGCGACGTTTCACGTAACTAGGGAGAGGGATTGGGTCACAGAAATCAGGCAATATGACCAAATGGACTCTAAACTCTACTTAAATACGACAAATTGACTAATAATCCACTTGAGATGCAGCAGGCGACCAGAGATAGGTTACCACAGTTTACTCAGGGTGCACGGGCTTAATCGAGATGATGCTTGAATGAAATACCTAATATCCGCAAGCATGGAAATCGAAGTCTGGGCGCTCTGAAGATGAAGCGACTTTGTACGTGCTACTGAAGGCTTAAGAAATAGCACTTGGAGTAAAAGTAGGCTTGGGCTGGAACCGAGTGAAATCGGTTAACTAAAGGATAAGAAATGGACATAAGGGCCCGAACAGGAGACTAGAGCAGGATCAGCCACTCGAAAGGAAGGGGAGCAAGGCAAACAGCAGGTGTGATGACGCCACGGTAAATTCGCCAAAAGGGCACATCTCTTGTGGAATATAAACATGTCAGTATTTGTGATAGAACGAGCGCGAGACTAGAGGGTAGGAAATGGATAGAGGGACCGGGACAAAAAGAGGAGTGATAACATAACCGTCTTGATAGAAAGTTGGCCAAGGGATTGACTTCACTTGTCTAATTGACGAGTTGTAGCTTGG